CCCGGCCTCTGCCACGGACAATTGTGCAACCCGCAACAATCTCCCCTCAACAATTGCCCACCAGGAATCGAACTCGTGACCTTGGCTCCGATACCAATCTGGTATATTCTCAAAGTATAATTTATTTTCATTTCTATAATATATATATATATATATATATATATATATATATATATTTTAACTATTCAAAAAACTAATCGATTATTTCAAAAAGTAATCGATTAGTTTTTTCATACTTGATGAGAACCAGCTTATTTTTTTAAATAATTGATTAATTTTTAAATAATCAATTAGTTTTTCAAATATATATTAAATAATTATAATTAAAAAAATATATCAAATTAAAATTTAAAAATAATTATTATTTTTATTATCCTCCTAATTTATTATTAATTTCTAAAAAAATATTACAATACCAAATAATAATAAAAAATTTAAAAGTAATCATACAAATAAAATATAAATATGATATTTAATAATATATTTTAAAAATATTATTTTAATACTTTCAACAATAAATCTAAATATATTTTTAATCTAATAAATATATAAATCTTTAAAAACTACAAATTAAAATTATAAATTTTAAATAAAATATTATATATATATATATATATATTATTTAATGTATATTTGAAAAACTAATCGATTATTTCAAAAACTAATCGATTAGTTTTTGAATTACTCAATTATAATCATTTCTTACCTATTATTTTTTACCATCATATATGTATGATAGCGGTCCATCTAACGCTTAAAAGTGAACATATAATAGCTGTTAACGTGGAACCGCTATTATATGTTCACTTTTTAGAGTTTTTAGAGTGGAATCACTATTATATGTTCATATGTTCACTTTTAAAAGCGGTTAAAGTGGAACCGCTATTATATCTTCACTTTTAAGAGCTGGTTAACTTAGAATTGCTATTATATGTTCACTTTTAAGAGCGGTTAACGTGCAACCGCTATTATATATATATAATTTTACATCAAAATATTATTTCTTCTTATATACATATAATTTTTAAGATTTTTATTATCCTCCTAATTTATTATTAATTTCTAAAAAAATTATAATATCAAATAAATCAAAAAATTAAAAAAAGTTTAATCATATAAATAAATTTAAATATAATATTTAATAATATATTTTAAAAATATTATTTTACTACTTTCAACAATAAATCTAAATATATTATTAATTTTAGAAATATACAAATCTTTTTAAATACCTAATTTAATATTAAATAAAATATTATAACATATATTTATATATATATATATATATATATATATATATTTTAGTTAGTTTTTTTCTTAATAAAATAAAAAGAAAACTATTTAGAATTCGGTTGTCTAAAAATCGAATTCTAAATTGTTTAAAAAAATTATAAAATACAATTATATTTAAGATTCGTATTTTAAAAAATCGAATTTTCATCTTAAAAAAAACTGTACTGTTTAAATAAATAAAACCTATAATTAATAATTAAAAAATGAATACTTGATCCCGTAACAAAAATTTGCCTGAACAAGAACTGAAACATAGATTTCGTGAGTTTCAATGAACTAGGGCTGAATTGCTACATTAGAGGGATTGGTGAGCATGACTAAGCATTCTTTCTTGTTTTTTATTTATGACAAGTCGTATCCACATGGCTACCTCCACACGCATATTCCAACTTTGGAATTGATGCACGCATATTTATAGAGGGCGAAAGGAAAAGAAAAGTAGATGTTGAAGAAGAAGAAAAACGCAGTAATTGGTTACAAGATCCCATCGTCAACATCGATTCTAATTAAAATTGAATGGTTATAACAGTAGTTTTTGTGTTTTTATTTTTTTTTATTTTAATTTAAACTCCTCTTACACAAACATATATAACATGTTAGAAACCTTTTTAATTACATCATAGTTTTATTGTGAAATTTTCTTCTATTACAATTCATTATATATGATTTTTAAAATAATTATCATGAAAGTTAACAAAGTTTATGGATTGAAAAATAATATAAAACTATATTTAGATAATTCTTTCATGGTTTTTATGACATAATTACTTACAAAATAGATTAAATTTTAAAAAAATCACCATTTTATGTATTTAATCTTGATCATTAACGCATTCAATCTTTTATATCTATTATCATTTTAATATAAATATTTCTTTTATTTCTTATTCTAAGAAAATTATAACTGGATTGTTTTATTTTATTTTTAAATATTGTATAAAATGTATTGTAAACGAGATAGTATTTAAAATGAAAAGGAGACAACTCATGTGATTAATGTATTGAATTTAAGGTTGAATCATTTATGTATTCTTAGGATTTGATCCATAGGTGAAATATAAAAGATAGTGTATCATTCATTTAACAAGAGATAATATAAACATGTTCTCAAACACATTTTCTATATTTTATTGATAAAAAATATTATTATAGAAATATAGTTTGCACCATTAATAAGTAAAGAAAAAAACAAAAGTGGGATTCAGAAAGCTGTGCTTTTTAGTGATGGATTTGAACCCAATCAAAGATCAAATCCATGGTTCGATTTTCGGTCAAAACGGTATCTTTCATCTTTTTAAAGATTAATTTTCATTCAAGATCTGTAGGTGGATACCAAATGGTGGTAAATATTTAATTTTGTGCTTTAATCAATTCCACCACTCAACCTTTCATCCTTTCCGTAGAGCCACCCATCTCTGAAATCTATGGTTTCTTTTCTCATAAAGGAGACAGCGGAGACTATTTGGTAAGTTATTTGAATTTTTTTATTGTTTTTTTACTATGTTTGAAATTTGGTGCATTTTTCATGAAGTTTTATATATCATAACATGTCAAAATCTATGCCATGTAACGTGGGAAATGATAATGACATGTTGGTAACTTTATGTTTTTATGTAATTGATAATAAGTAATTTGTGATCATTCTTAATCCAAGACTTAGTGATGGTCTTCTCAAGTTTCATGTTTTTATTTTGAGTTGTATATTTTGTTAAGTTGAAACACAATTGTCATGTGACCAAGTCATCTTTTCAAATTTCACATTTTCATGGTTCTAACTAGTCTTTCCAAATTAAACATGGTCATCATAAATAACTCATTCTTATGTAAAGTGCATATCTTTGAAATAAAATAACCTTGACTTTTATATTTCTGGTTAATTTGTCATTTCTCAATCAAGTTCCTATCTTGAAATTCCTTTAAATGAAATCATCTTCAAATTGTACTTTTCTTATTTAAGAAATGGTTCAAAGAATTTTGCGCAGAACTTACTTCAACTTGTGAAAAACTTAATGAACAAGTACTTGAACTTGTGACAACTTATCGAATCATATGTGATGAAGCTTATTTCAATAAATTTCATTATCAAATCTGAAACATAAACTCTCATGTGAGAACTTATTGAATAAGTATTTGATTCAACTGTGTACACAAATCAGACATTAATAGAAAATAAAGTGTATAAATTCACTCATCATAAATTAAAGACTAATCACTGTTATATTGTATCAGTTTAATATCATAAATTTAAATATACTTGTAGTTTTCACATCTTAGTTTTTTATTTAAGTATACGAAAATGAAACCTTGTAAAGTGATGAAGATGAATCTCTTACTAAGGTCCACAAAGGTGGGGTTGATGAGTTGTCATTTCCTCCTATCCTACAGGTAACATACAGATCAGCACATCAAACGAAGTTTTGCTGTCTTTTGGGAGGGTTGAGTGCTGCATTTGAGGGCAGGATCTTAAATGCCCACGTGAACATAACCCCCTCTTCCCAAGCCCTTCTCTCTGTGTGCTTCCCATGTTTCATCTTGGTCTATATTTTATCATCACGATTGACAAGTTAAATATCGACATCGTGGTCCACCCTTCGGTTATAAAAGGGCTGTGATAAAAGCTAAGATCTCTTGAGTATGTGTTTAGTTTGACATTTAGAATTTAAAATGTGGCAAATAAAAATTTACTCAAACTATCTTCAACTTGATTTGATCTGATACGAAACCAATATGCACTGAATTGCATCAACCACCCAAGTCCACTTCACTCTGCAACAACCAACCTTCACTTAAAACACATGTACCTTGCCATTTAGTGTCAAACTTGACATAAAAAGCAATGAACTTAAATGCAACCTCAACAGCCTGCTTCCCAATTGCAAGACCAAGTCATCTTTTCCTCCCTCTTTCCAATTAAATAAATGGCAAGTCATTTTCAAGACTATTTATCAATGCTATGTAAGATCCTGCTTCGTTAACTTCTCAAAATATACTTGTAAGAGGAGGTAATAAAAAAATAAAACCAGCTGAAATATTCACATAAACTAACATCAACTTATTAATTCAAAGCACTAAGAAAACAGAAAGGCAATGACTATGAACAACAGAAAAAAAATGGGAAATTTTATTGATTAAATGGCCAAGACAGAAAAATAGTAACTAACAACATATTCATCCTCATTGCACCAACCCCATTAGGTACCCACCACTCATCCTATTTCTCTCTAAGGCTTCCAGTGTTTGGTATATAATGAACATATATGTACATGTACACAGTCCTCCTCTAGCAGCAGACCAACCTCCTCTCCCTTTTTGTCTATCTTAAAGGTGAATGAATATAAACTGACAATTTAATCAATGGTAACGACATAAAATCTCCCTTTTTCACCCATAAGGAAACTGGGGATACAAGAACATATGCTCTACATGAACTGAAGAGAAGAGAAAGGAAAATTGACAAAGGGGAAAGTTGGATGGAACCAGAAAGCAATTAGGAATGAATGAATTAATAACAACAGCAAAAGGAACTAGACTATGTCCTGGTTCCACTGGTACTGGTTGCTAACAAGATTATTTCGTGGTTTCTGAATGTCACAGGTATCAAGAGACAATTTTGTGAGGGATCATAAAAGACTAGATGAACTGTGGAAAGTTTTGCGGCATTGTACAGAAATACAGTATACATCAAAAGCAGCACAAGGTCAGGTGTTCTACAAGCTGTAATGCCTAATGGAGTGTTCCAACATATCATGACTAGGACATATAATTTCCTTCACACGACTGCCATTTTTGTAGATCTTGAAGGTAGGTACAACTCTAACATTCTCAGCAGTGCCAATTGCGGGGCTTGCTAGGATATCCACCTTTGATCAAACACAAAATAAACATAAGAAAATTACCACAATGCTTTATTTTACCTCTAATTTTCAGTATATTATTGAGGCAAGTGAAAATAGTGAAGGGAACTACCTTAAGAAAGTTAATAGATGGATAGCGACTGCATAGGGTAACCACGAAAGGAGATATCTGCTTACATTGCAAGTTTGATGCAGTTTCAAAAAGGACAACGGAAACACCTGCAAAATTAGAGTTAATATCACGAGATTTGCAAAATAACCAATCTGTAAAATGAGTTGCATAAGCTTTTAATATCCTTTTTTATTACCTGGTAAAGATATTGCAGCTCTAAACTGCTCAAGACCTGATATCTCCTCCACTTCACCACCAAACTTTAAATTTTGTACATCTTCCCCGCGAGATTTCTTTAATGCTACTTGAGCATGAAACAGGCTTTCTGAAACATCACTGTCATCTGGTAGTTCTCTCCGCAAAAGTTCATAATCCTTTATTGCTTCTTCCCATCTTTCTAACTGCATAATAAGGCCGGAGATGAGACCATATTTACCTTCCCATCTTCAGTATGAGTATATGAAAATGCACCAATCAAAATAAAAGTCAGGCTTACCTTGCTATTTGAGGCAGCCCTTCGAAGAATGGCTTTTGTGTAATTTGGTTGGATGCGTAGAGCTTGATCGCAATCGTCAATTGATCTTTCCCATTTCCCAAGCTTAAACCAACATGCTGCTCTATTACAATAGAGAACAGAGTTTGACGGGTCAAGCCTCAAACCTTCCTCATACGCTGAGCACGCCTCAGTGAACCTTTCTGATTTAAAAAGATCATTGCCACGCAGTCTAGCTCTAGCCACAATTCTCACATTCTTGACCAAAACAGCAACTTCAACATTTCGGGGGTCAATCTGATTAGCTTTCTCAGCAGCTGTAACTGCATTCTCAAACCTGCAATACATCCATCATCCATTCTCACTCTGCAACACATAGCTTTGCCAGCTTAGATTTCTGATGAAGCTTACAGTTTCTGAACTCACCTTCCAAAAGCCATCTCAATCTGAGCTCTCACAAAGTAGCAGTAAGCCTCAGAAAACATCCCAAAAAACCTTGCCTGGGATAAGGAACCGGGATGAGGCTCGCTTTTAGGAATCCGTGATAAACACAATTCAGCATCATCTATCTGGTGTAGCTTGAGAAGGGCTTCTGCTCTACACATAAAGAGCTGTAAATTCAATTTCCAACCAGTTCAGAATTTTTCACACCAAAATAACAAGTTAACGTCAAATAATCATATAATAAAAAATTACCTGAACACTAGAGTCTGCTCCAGCAGCAACAGCAGCATCAACCTCCCTCAGTACGCTGTTCCAATCTCGTACCCTCCGAACATCTTCACATTTGTTTATATGTTTTTCTACATTTTGCAACTTCTGCAATTCAGCAAGATCTGGGTGCAGCCCGGGATAGTAAAGGTGCTTCCTTGCATCCTCAACCAGTCCTAACCTGTCACATTTCAGGATTTTATTCACCACACAAGTTTCACTTCCATAACATACCACGTACAATGCAAAGCAACAAATCCAATGCATAACAACAAGAAGGTGTCTAATCCAACATGGTGGTATCTAACAAAGAGACATTCGTTAATTCCAAAGTAAATCTTATTGATCAATTATTAAATTCAAATAAGAAAAAGTGTTTCGAAACTTGTTTTCCTACATCAATCACTTCACTCCAAACTCATTTCAACCAAGGTTTTAAATTTCAAACATGGTTTCGTCTCGTCAAGATCGTGGTTGACAAATGCAGCTTCTCAAGCTAAAAAATTCTTGTCATTGTGACTGAAATCACAGCCGATTTCTTAGAAGCTTGTTTTCAACTAAAATCAATCTTGTCACGTCAAAATCAACAATGCTGTAATCAAAATTTTTTATTTCCGACCCAGGCTTAAAAATTACAGTCAATAGCTCCTTTATATTGTGGACCAATGCAACCACAGTAGCAGCTGCAATGCGGCCATAGAGACCCAAAAAGCCTTGGCATTGCTACCAACATGGTGGTAAAAATCTTGTCATCGTGGCCAAAATCACAGTTACAAAAACATTGACATTGCAGCCAAAATTAGGTCACAACACAGTGTTTCAAAACCTTGTTTTCATCAAAATCAACAATTTTGCAAGGGCTCATCCAACACACACACCAAATTCACCTTAGAAACAGCATTGCCAAGCGCTGATGCGCCCTCCCATAATTAGGATCCAACCCCACAGCCTCCTCACACGCCCTCACCGCCTCCGGCAGCCGTCCCAATCCGGTCAACGCTGCCGCCCGGTTGCTCCGGTAAGCAGCATTGCTCGGTGACATCGCAATTGCCCGATCATACAAACACAATGCCTCACCAAAGTGCCCTCTCTTATACTCCTCATTGCCCATCCTCTTCACTTCCTCCGGATCCACGCGCTTCCCCGAATCGCCGCCACCGATCTTAACACTCGCCGCATCACCACCGCCACCCTTGGTGCCGCGCATTATGCTCCCGTGGCCGTAATTCCCCGTGCCGTAGCCTAATACATCACTCCTTGAGCTCCGACTCGCTGCCGCCGCCACCGTCGCCGGCTTTAGAACCCTCCCGGACGGACAAATGTTCCCGGCCGGAAGAACATTCGGCGGGGGTGAACTCACAGCAGCGGAGGAAGACGATGATGGGGATCTCTGACTCTGGGTCAGACTTTGACCAGAACTAGATCTTCGATGACCCGGTTTGGACACCCGAGTCGGACTATTAGTCTCACTCGACCCGGACAACTCGCCGGAATGGGATCTTCTCGAAACCGGGTTGCTCTGCCCCGGAACCGACCCGCTAGAGCCGCCGCTACTACTGCTACTGTTACTACTCGTGGTGGGCGCACTGTGGTGGTGGAACTGCTGACGTGGCCGCAATGTGGAAACCGGCGAACCCAAATCGAGTTCTCGGAAATCGGGCTTGTTGGAATCGTCGGAACAACTCAGTGAGTCGCGCAACCGCTCGCTGAGCCCTAACTCGGAGACGGGTTTCCCGGAATGTGACATTTTTCTTCACCCCTTCTTCTCCTTCTTCTCACTAACTGAAACAACAAGAAGAAGGGTACCTTAAAGACTCTCTCTTTCGTAATTTTCTTCTCTCACAATATGAGGATCTCGTGAATGTTAGTGTTGTTTGAGATAGAAAAAAAAAAAAAAAAAAAATGGGGTTTGTGAAGTGTGGAAAGCAATGCAGCAAGAAAGAGAAGAAGGAAGAAAGAAAGAGAAAGAATGGGAAAGAAGTGAGCTTTTATTTTCTTTTGCTTCAGCTTCACCTGCTGCTTCACGAGACACCTTTCTCTCTCTTCTATCTTCTTCTTCTTTCTCTCTCTCTTTCTTCTCTTTTCTCAATTATCATTACTTCCTTTTCCTTTCTCTTTTTTTTTTTCTTTCTTTTTAATTCCCAACAATTGTTTCTGTAAACTGCCACCAATGATTCTGAATTCTGGAATGAATAGTATGTTCAATTAAAATAGTATATAATGACAAAAAAAAATAGTATATTTAAGTAGATTTCGAAATTATAATTGCTAAGTTAATAAATGATGGGTATTTTTCATTTTTTTTAATTGTAAAAAAGGATAAATAATAATGTTTTATATATTGTGATTTCAAGAATTAAATTAGTTGATATTTAATTTTGGATTTTATTAAAGATGCATTCTTTCATTAATATTCTTTTATACCTTCTTGTTATGCATTTCTTTAAACAAAAATCTTGATGCATATTTTAGGTATTTATGTAAAACCAGTAACTTTAATAGATATAAAAATTGTTATAATTGGTAAAAAAAATATCACAAATGACAAAAAAAAAATTATAATAGTGAAACTTGCTACAATTAATATAAATAATAATTTAAAATGAATAGATAAAAAGTAGAACTAAGAAAAAAATTGAAAAAAATGGAATTATTCTTTAACCTCCACAAATTCCTTTATTTTATTTTATTTTTTTTGAGAAAAAACAAATTACCTTGTGTCAATGAGACAAGTGAAAATCTATATGTTCCTCTCTTAATTTATTTTAAAAAATTAAATAAGTTTTAATTTTTGTTATTTGAACATGTGTTGAGAATATATTTTTATAAATATTTTCTTTTTTACTTCTTTTAAGTAAAACAAAACACAAAAAATATATTTAGACTATAATAAAAAATTTAAGATAATAGTTTTTTATTGAATAATAACAAGACATATTTTGGTCAATCTAATTATTACTAGAACTCTCTTCATATTATTTAAAGAGCTGACTTTTTTTAATAAATATTTTTTAAAAATCAAACTTTAAATACACATTTTATGTGTGTTATTTTCAGATCACAAAGAGTGTTGAAAAATTCACAGTAAATAAGTTATAAATAAGTAAAGCACTTCGTCAGAGCATTGACTTGTTTACTAAGAAAAGTTTAAAAGTCTTTTTAATCTTAATTGAATATCATATGTAGATATATATATATATATATATATATATATATATATATATATTTATATTATTGTATTTTAAAAATTTAATTTTAATTTAATATATTTAAAGTTAAATTTATCAACTTATTTAAAACATCTACTGGATCAGGACTAGTTTTTGAAAAAACTTTGATTAGGACTTCCAATAAAAAAATATTTTAGATAAGTTAAAGTCAATTAGATTTAATTATAGAAGATATTTTCAAATCTATCATTAATGATAGGAAGTAATACAGTTTATATAGAAAAATTAGTCATTTAAAATAAAGTCAACCCTCACTTTACTTGTTTTTTTAGCTTATTAATAATACCTTTAAAAGTAACTTCAAAAATTTAAAGTTTATGAGTTTGGTAAGTTATGAGCCATTTAATGGTTTGAAAAATAAAAAAAATTAATGGAGAATAAAATAAAAAATACTTCACTTCTCACGATAAGGGTAAAAAATCAATTCAGATAAAATGACATTCATAAATTGTGATTTATACAAAGAAAAATATTGCAATTAACCGATTTACTCGTGGATTAGTGTATTTAATATTAATTAAAGTAGTGTGTCGTCTAATTTGTTGTTTAAAATTACTATATAATTAAAGTAAAACCTAAGAATTTTAAGTTTGATAGTTAAAGTCCTTTATGAAATTCATAACTTATAATTCCTTTAGAGTTTTGGAAATTTAGACCTAACTTTTACTTTTTAGTTAACTTTAAAAAATTATAATAAAAAGAAGAAAAAAACATAAAAGCAGAAGTTTAAAAAATTGAAAATACTTTTTTTAGTTCTTCCTTCAATTTTTATATTAAAATGGTTAATCTTTTTAAAATTATATTTGGTGTTTTTTTTATTTTTTTTTGTTTAAAAAACGAAATCCAATCCAATCATTTAAATTTATGTTTAAATATTTAAAATAATTATAGTTACAATTTTAAGGTTCAACGCTATGAAATTGTAATTAAGTTAAGTAAAAATTTTAATACTTATACCGACTTCTTTTTTTTGTTTAGTACTTACATTAAAAAGTATATATTAAGTCCATTTATAAAGTAATGTTTACAAATTGATTTATAAAATAAACAAATTTAAAAATTCTGGAAAATCATAGATAAAATTATTAACAAACCCACTTAAGTTAATATTTCAAATTAGAGAGATTAAAGCTTTTTAAAACTGAACTGCACTATTTCATTATGTATATTAAATTAAGATTACATAAAATTGTTTTAATAATAACCAGTCATTATGATAGTTTTAATTAAGCGTGCAAAAGACAAAATTATTAGCATTGGTAGGATTAGGAGTGATTTTATTATTAATGAGTTTCACTGGAAGTAAGATGTTCTAAAAAAATTGAACTTCTAGTATTAATAAAGGGACTAAGGTTTTTTCTTTATTCAATTTCTTTATTACATATTAAATTTAAGAATAAGAAGGAATTAAATTTCGTATCTAATTTGGTTTTATGAAAATTAATCAAAAGTATTACTAATTATTAAATTTAAATATAAAAAATAAAACCACATATTTTTAAAAAAATTCAGAAATAATAAATATAAGTTGAAAAAATTCAATGGACTGAAACATGCTTTTTTCCCTTTTAAAATCAATGGCTAGTTCTCAATAAAAGCCTAGTATTGAGACAACAATAAGAAGTTTCTATTTTACTTGAGTTTGCATGTTATGCACAATAAATTGGTTAATTTTTTAGTTGACAAGTGTTAAATTGGTGTCATCAACTGTCACTGCTACCTACTTTTTCTTTTTCACACTTTTATTACTATAATTTTAGATAAAATAGAAATTTATTTTATTGTTTTATTTGAGTAAGTTAAAATTAATTTTCAATACTTAAAAATAACCTTTATCAATTTTCTCCCTCGCTTTTACAAATATAAAGGTGAATAATTTTATTTATTATACTTAAAAAAAATTATTTTAAGTTATTCTTAATGTTCGATCTTTTAGGAAAAGAGACAATATCAATTAATCATTAATTCCAGATTTAAATTATTTTTAATAAAAAATATTAAGACATTCAGTACTCATATTTGAATCTCCGACCCTTGCTCAATTATTTTTTTTATTATCATAAATTTTTATTTTCATATATTTTTATTTTTATATTTTTTCCATTTATTTTATTTGATTTAAAAAATATATAAATCAATTAAGTTAAACAAGAATAAGAAGAAGCAGGTATTCTATAGATTTCTCCAAACTCATTAAAACTTGAGTTGAATTTTAAATTTTCAAATCGATTTTTTTTTTTTAAACCCTCTTTCTCTTCGATAGAGTTAGTGACCGAAAAAGTTATGCGTGTAATGATGTGTACGCGTATTGGATTCTCCGTTCTCCATTTTTGTTATTTTCAAGCAAAAATATTTGAAACATCAACTTCCTTTATTAATTAAATATACGAAGATGACTTTTTATCTGTGCAACTATTTTTTTTTCTGATAACCAAAATATAATATTAGGGACTTCTCTTAATTAATTAATTAATTAACCTAAAGCCACATACTCCATTCATCAAGGTTCATTGAACTAACAAAGCATCTATTTCGGGTATTGCAATAATACTATTATTTTCTTGCTCTCACTCAAAATAGAATAAAAATATATATTAAGCTTGTTTCTTGTATTGTTCTTGAAAATAACGAGTTTTATTAGTATTTTATTTATTTATTTTCATTCATTTTAATCTTTTATAATTACTAGTAATTATCATCATAATTAGTCTTTAAATTAAGTACCATGAGAAATAACATAACTGAAAAAATAAACACTAGTTAATAATATTATTTTTAATTTATGATTTAAATGATAGTAGGATAAAGACATGTACACACACCACCATCACTGTAGGGTTGACCTACTCAAAAATTTGGTATTATATTAGGGTCTGTGGAGTCAAAACTATGTGTGTGGATGATTGTTTGGCATAAATGTATGACAATTGGATTGGCACCATTATGAGAATTGGACAACTTTATAAGAGACCACATAGTTGTTACCCTAATTTCATGTTTATATATAAAAGCAGCAAAAACATTAATGTATTATATTTATAAATTTTAAGATTTCTTGGCAAAGTGGAACCTCAGAACCACCATTCTCCACTAATTTGTCATGCCCTTTTGGATTGGTGTTGTTTCAATGTTTCTTTTACTCTTATTCTAGGAGATAAGTTTGGTAGAAGAGCTTAGTCATGCTTATATAATACAGTGATTGGAAAATTTTGTGTCCAATTCAAAATCAATGATATCCACATTTAAGTAGATAGTTGGATCATGTGTTTTTAAAATACCAATAATCAAGTTTTCAATCAAAATTAGTGATTTATAGATTGAAGAAACGCTTGGAAATGATAATATTAATGAAAGAATAGTATATTTATAATGTAAAGAGAAGAATAAAAGGCATTTTTTGTGTGAAGCAAAGTGACAAAACTAATGAGTAGTGTAATGAAAATGGATATGATTTGTTAACCTTATGGATGTTGGTTTGTCATAATTTGCCGCAAAGGTCAAAAAACCTTGAATCTTGTTAAATACTACAAGATAGCTTTCGGTGAGTTAATGAAACTTGTATTTTTGGATAATGTGTCTAACTTTCTGCATTCATGTCACTGTTCAACCATATCACTTTACCACAAGACATGAGAGGACACCTAAACTGACACTGTTTACATTAAATTAATCAGAAATCAGGTTCAACACGAGAGGCCCACATAGTTTATGTTTTGTAGTTGCTTAGTTCAAGGAAAATCATTACGTTGGACTAGGAAAAAATTAGGCTTTTCGCCACACATTTTCACTTTCAATCTACCTTTAATCTATTTAACCTATATAAAATGAATGAATTAAATATATTTTTCTAATCCCATTTCATTTCCAATAATAATATTATTAAGATAAATTTTCATATTTAAATTATTATCTATTTCAAAATTTTAATTCTTCCTAATTTTATTTTTAAAATATTTTCGATAATTAAAAAAATATATATATATATATATATATATATAAATTATTATCCATTTCAATTCTTAAATAACATGACACAAAAATTTAACCTCTAATATTTTTTTTAATTTAATTCAACTCAAAAATTCATGATATTGAAAATTAACTTAGAAATTCAAATCTATACTGTCACCCCTTATCCACACACGCTTGGTGCGAAATTGCACTTCCTCACATTATTTTTTGAAAAACTTATACTTTTTATCCTCTTAAATTTGTAAATTTTAACCTTGAATCCAACTGCTTCTAATGTTGTTCCTCATACTTAATCATTTTCGATTTACATTTTTCTCCAACTAATATTAATTTGCTTCCTTTTAATATTTTATTTAAACATTTATTTTAAAAGTACAATCTTTTCTTTCCTGTACTGATTCAATAGTTTCCTTCACGGTATATTCTCTTTTCATAATTATATATTAAAAGTTGATATACTTATAAAATTAACGTAAAAGTTTAAAATAATATATATGTCACAATAATAAATGAATTATTCTAAATTATATAAATTATTTTTACATGTAAAAATAATTAAAATAGTATTCATATGGTATTTTAGAAACGGTGGAGGAATTAATTATTACTGATATTCAACATCAAACGAAGCTCTTTGATCCCTTAAAAAAGTTCTATCATGGTGCAAAAGTGAAGTTAACTTTTGCACTTTTGCACTTTTTGCGACACAGGTTCTTTTATTAATTGTATAAAAACGTCGTTGTTGCAACCTTAAAAATAAATCTTTTGTATAACTTTGTCTCCAAGACTTGTCTATTGTCATGATACAGTGATTGGAGCATCGTGATTCCTTAATAAAAAAATTACAAAAGGGTTATACTTTTTCAGAACATTAAAATATTTATCACAATTCAAAATTGTATCTGCAATAGTACAGTATTTACGTCTTTAATTTGAATCCTATAATTAGAGTTCAAATTCAACGGTTACGATTTACGTCCTATTTTTTTCTGCACAATATTCAAAGTGAAATGTCAAAACACAAATGAATCGTGTTTATAGAAAAAAAAAATCAGATTAATCTAAAGAGAATTTTTAAAAGGAAAATTTCGAAAAATTATTGAATTATGTTTATGAAAAAAAAAACTGATATATATAATAACACTACAAGAATTTTACATATTAGCTATGACACATTCAGTAGTTATTTTATAGTTAATCTCTCGTTGATATGTTTTGCTACAGATTAGCTACGAAATAGCTATGAAATAGTCCGTAGCTAAATCCGAGTAAGCTAATTAGATACTGAATGTATTCTCTCTCAAACTTGTAGCAAATTTTGTCGCTAAACCTGTCGCTAAATCCTCGCTAATTTAAATGATAAAATTTTGTTTATCTCTAGCTAATTTAATCTCCCCAAACTTGTAGCTAATCCGTAGCTAATCTCTCGCAATTTCGCTCTCGCTAATCCGTAGCTAATCCCTTGCAATTTCGCTCTCGCTAATTCGTAGCTAATCCTCGCAATTTTTCTTTCGTTAATCCGTAGCTAATCCCTCGCAATTTTTCTCTCACTAATCCGTAGCCAATCCCTAGCAATTTTTCTCTCGCTAATCTGTAGCTAATCCCCGACAATTTATCTCTAGCTAATATGTGGTTAATGCCTCGCAATTATTTCCTCGCTAATCCGTAGCTAATCCTTTACAATATTTCTCTCGCTATTTCATAATTAATCCTTCATCATTTTTATCAAAATTTATAATATCAAATATTTAAGATTTAAATTATTACTCATTCTTAAAAAAGAAGACAAACTTATCAACTTTCAATATAAAAGTATTGTTTAAACATAGTTAAAATGATGTTTTAAACAATTAAAACGTAACAAAAATAATATTTCAACTAAAAAGTTTTGTATAACACAAATAAAAATAGAAACAAAATTTAAAGTACATTTTTATCATTGTTTCTTTAAGGCAGATAATTAATCTTTCTTCAAAGACTGTATTTTTTTCTTGTATTTGTTGTTTGATGGCCTTTTGATCTGTACTGCAGGGACCTCAACACCAACATTTTTACTGCTTGGTTTAGCAACTTTTGATTTTGGCGGATCGACATTTGTAGGTTGTACTGTCATTGTTCCTGTTAGCCTTTCACGGAGAACACGCATGTTTGGAGCATAACTCTTTCCGCTCTGAGATGCAGATTGAAGACCTTTCCTTTGAAGCTTGAGATGTAGATCTTGAGCTCTAACTTTGCAATCTTCACAATCACAAGCATTAACAAGTCAAAAAAAAAAAAATTAGCTATTGTCATCCATCAAAAGTAGCAACGTATAGTTGCCTATGAGAATAACATTATTCATACTAGTGATCCGTGGTTCACCATAGCTAAAGAAATCATGTTCCCACTTGTCATCTTGCCTCAACCTGCCTAGGATGTATTACCCTTCACCGAGTAAATCCTCAATTTAGTTTCTGAAATTGTAAATGTCAATTACATTTCTCTCTGATTTAATAAAATCTATTTCAGTTAATTTTTTTATCATTTGCACATAATCTATTATCACAATTTATAGAATAGAAAAGGACCAAAGCAAATAACAATTTATACCATCAAGAATTAGAATGAATGTTTTTACTAAAGACAAGTCTAGAATAGGGTATCCGACAAAGAAATCTCTCTATCAGTATACAAGGATTAAGATGCAATACTTGAAAATAAAATCAAGATGTGATCGTAACAAGTATAAAAGGACAGCTATAGGATACAAGATTTTCAAATAATGAAGCCAAAACAATGATATTCTACAACCGACCATGTTAAGGATGCTATTCAACATTGTTGATCTCGACCTGGCACCCCAATGAAAACATTATGGCCATGTTTAGACACGATCCGAGTATCAGATGTTAACTTCATTGTAAGACGTAGTTGTTGTTGACCACTATACAAGCCTACTGAAAAATCATTTGTCTCACTGCTAGTTCCTTCTATCAGTTGATCTCTTGTTATCTAATGGTGTATACTCACCAATTGTCCTGTCATTTGCCAAAGAAAATTCGTTATCTGTTGGTGTGAACTCACTTTTCTAGTTTAGAGTGCTTCACTGGAGTAGCACAGTCTGAAGGGTTTATGAGGATAAAATCTTTTGCAAGAGAGCCAACTTTATCCATTATATTCACACTAAGAGTGAAGAGATTACGATAAGTTTCATCATAATCCCCGATCATGTACTCCAGTATAATGAAACTCTACTTATTAAAAAATAGGTGAATTTATGTTAACACAGTAGTCTAGGCAAAATATATTTACCTATTATACAACAATATGGCTTCACCTATTGTCCCTGCCACCTTGTTCCGTACCTTTCGAACACATACCTGAGACAAGCCTAAGTCAGTGTATTTTGTTTATTATGATACAAAAATAAGCACAATTATGCTGCAATCACTCACCTGTACTTGGTCCATAGGCCCAACTTCAGGATCCCGATTTCGGTGAATAACAATTCCATTGTCACACTTATTTATGAAGTGTGCACTTCCACTTATATCATAGAGATTAGGAGGACCCCCAACCCAATCAAATCCACAATTACAAAATTCCATTCAAGCTTCTTAAACAACCAACACACGAAAACCAATTCAGTGTTCAGTACTCACAACCTGCTTTATATCCTCATCGTAGTCACTAACGTTAAAATTGATGTCCGCATCAACCCCACGGAACTTGATCGCAGCACGATCATAAGCCCTGAAACAAAATTATTACAATATTTATAAAACCACAGAATACATTTTGCACGCTTAAACAAAACCAAAAACACCGCGGCACAAGACAGCACGGGAGCGGGAGCAAGAGCAGCAGGGGAGCGGCGCGAGAGCGACAGCGGCAACAGCAGTGGATGGAGGCAGCAGCAGCAGGGGCAAGGAACGGCAGGGAGCGGCAAGGGGAAGGAGCAGCGACGGAGAGAGAGAGAGGCAGCGATGCGTTAGGTTTGAGAAAATTAAGTATGAAGAAGATGAAAAAAAATTAATTTAGATTTTTATTAAAAGAATTATAAAAAAATAAATAAATTAGTATTTTTGAATATAAATTTTTTTTATTCTTATAAAGAATATTTTTTAAAAAAATTATAAAAAAATATTATTTATAAATTTTTTCTATTAATTTAAATATTATTAAATATTTCTAACAAATTTAAATTTATAAAAAACTTACAAAAATAATTTTAAATATTTATCAATTTTTTTAGATATTTTTTCAAAAAAATTATAATTATTTCTAAATAATTTATTTTAGATAAAAAAATAATTTTTATATATATATATATATAATTATATATTTATAATAAATTTGGTAAAAATAATTTTTTAAGAAAAAATTGTAATTAATTTTTATTGATATTTTTTTCAAAAAGATCAAAAATTATTTTTTATAATTATATATTTTTAGATAAATTTACAAGTATTATAAATAATTTTTTATAAAACTAAAATAATTTATAAGAATGGTTCCAATAATTTAATATTTTTTTCAATTTGATAGTTGCTATAAATTTGCTACAGTTTAACTATAATTGTATGTTACACAATTTAGCTAGGAAATAGCTTAAAAAAGTAATATAGCTAATATTTATAGTGAGGGATTAGTGACAAAAATTTTTCTAACTAAATTATTTTTTTGCTAAGTGAGAGAATAGCTACAAAAATATTAGTCTTCTAGCTATTTTACTACAGATTAGCTACAACCTTATTCTTTCACTATTCCATAGCTAATTAGCTACAAATTAGTGAAAAATAAATTTTATAGCTAATTTTCCTAGCTAATTATAAAATTTCTTGTGGTGTAAATAGGAAGAAGAATATAAAGTATTTTGATTATTATCTTAATTTCAGTAACTGTGATGAGAGATAATTAACTTTTCTGAATGAATAATCTTAAAAGGGTATTTAGAACTAAATGAGAAATAAATTTTTGATAATTAAGAGAGCACATAAAAAGAAGAAAAGGTGAAAAGGGTGGAAGAGGCTGCTAGTACAAGGCATAACATGATTTAGTGTGTTGGTTAAAACATCAAAGTAAAAGCTACAATACAATGTTGGAAGATGCATTGATTCATAGAAAGTGTTCCAAAACCAATTTGGTTTTAGAGAATCTAATCCCTCTCTCTACTTGCTTTTAGCCCACAGATTAGGAATAGAGAGGGTTTGAAAATGGGGAAAGGCTTGACCCTTCACGTGGGAGAAATGAATTAGAGGAGTTGATGCAAATTTAGAATGTCTAGGGTTTCGAAATCCCTGTTTGTAAGGTACGGTCATTTCAGCTTTTTAGGGTTATTGCATACCCAACAATCATGGGTGTCAGAACCAGCTTTTACATCACATGAGAGAGAGAGAGAATATTGGATTTGGGGGAAAGAAAGTGGGGTTGGTTTATATTTCATAATGACTTTGATGCTTGATTTTTGTCCCCATTTATGTTTGTTTTGTGCATGGATCAACCGTGTTTTCATTAATATAGTCTCTTTTAAGTTTTTGTTTCTAAAAGAGTGCATGGATTAGGGTTCTTACTTTTCCTTGTGTTTACGTACATATTTAGGGTCATATTAAGCGAGTGTTTTAGAAAACTAGCGGGGTATATAGTGTTATAAATAGATGAAGTTCTCGTTATTCATTAGTTTTTTACTATATTTTTTATCATATTAGTACATATTTAATGTAATAAGAATAAAATGATATTTTTAAAATTAAAATAAATAATTTTAAGTTATACCGTCTAACGTAAAAATTGAAATTTAAATTAGATTAATATGAGATTCAATTATATATTTTGGTGTTGTGTCTAGAGAAAAACACATTACTTTCATTTATTTGTTTGAGGTTATTCTTATTAGGATATGTTTTGTAATAGGGGAGAAAAAATTGGAAAAAATTTAAAATAAATCATAAAATAAATTTAAAAAAAATAATTGATATGCACGTTTCTTCCTTGAATAGGGTTTCATATGTATGTTGTAGGAGGGAAGATCTGAATTGATTACTGTTCTGACCAAGTGTACATGTTAGTAGAGAAGAGGTTGTGGCATGGAGCTAAAAGAACATGTGAAAACTGCAAATGGAAGACAAGTCAAAAACACTTGCCACTGTTCAATCCTTTTCTCTGCATAAAACGTAATCTTGATAACTTGTATTGATAAAACAGTGATAAAAAAAGTTTTTTTTTTATTGAATAATTATATCAAAGTAAAATTTTAATTATAGTGTAAAAGTAATGCTACTTCTAAATTTTATGCAAAATATATAAATGGACAAAAAGAATAAACCCAATAAACCCGCTTGAATACACAGAAGATTAATTGGAAAATACAAAGTCATTAAATTTTGGAATTTCGTAACCAGTGTTCTAAGATACTACTAGTGTTTAATTTTTTAATTTTCTTAGAATTTTTAGGCCTTTGAAACTGTGTGATTTCCAAGAGCACACACAATGGCATGTGGGTAGATTTACGCTGAAACTTGGAATGTCTTCTTGAAGAAACCACAGAGCACGGAATAAATGGTTTCAGCAAAATTTAGGGTTAGGTTATCATACTACTAATTCTACAACACAACAACTATTTAATATTTATTTTTTAAACTAACAAAATCATGGAATATCTTTAAAGATTTATTAGTACATTTTTGTTAATTAACTACAAATTTAGTATAGGTGGTTAACTAATTCACACCTTATTATCCATTAATTATGTTAACTTCACATCTTATTACCATCTCATAAAAGAATTTGTAATAAGCAAAAGAAAAATATGAGAATATTTTGTAAATCACTTAACAGAGTCAAGTATTTTAGAGGTAAAATATGTTAAAAAAAAAGGTCTGAATTTTTGTGAACATATTTAAAAAGCCAAAAACATATTAAACCTTTAAACATATTAATAAAACTTAAAAAAAAATCGTATAAACACGAGTTAACTAGTGTGCATAAAGTTTTAATTATTATGAAATGTTTTACATAATCAAGTAGTTCAAATTATTTCAATATAATAAAATAATTGCATAAATCATTATAACAATGATATACAAAACTATCATTGAACTATTCTGTCGAATAATTCTTTTGTGCATGTTTAGTTTCGTGTAAAAATCAAATTAAACAAGGATTTATATTTTACATTTAAGCTAAACTAAATAATTTTTTCATATATAAAATATGAATTATGCTCACGCTAACAAAAGTGTTCATTAAATTTATTAGAGGTAATATAACTCTAATCTATTATATTCTAAAAATAGTTGGGTGAATTAAAAAAATAATATATAAAAATTATTATTAATTTTTACTTACAAGTTATATGAGATTTATAAAAGAAAGATTAAATTATGAATTAATTAGTTTTAAGAAAATACAGAGCAGCTAATTTGTAGAAAGAAAGAAGGGAGTGGATAAATGTTGAGTTATGAGAGTTTAGGGTTGGAAAAGCATGCACATGCCACTTGTCTATATAATTATGAAGAGGTGGGTGAGTTCCATTTTGATGCCAAAACTGAGTGTGTGTGTGAGAGAGAGAGAGAGAGAGGGTGGTTCAACATAGGATTCTTGGACTATCAGGGAAGGTCTCTTTTGTCTTCTTCTGCTTCTTCTGTTCAGTCACTAGTCATTGTTTTTATCTCCAACTCCATTTATTTTCATGCTTTCATTTCATGTCGTTATTCATAGAGATGCCATCTGTGGTTATTCTGTGTTGCTGCTGCATGTACATATATGTAATACACTGTTGGAGATATATATATATATATATATATATATATATATATATATATATATATATATATATATATATATATATATATATATATATATAACTATTGTATTGGATCTTGTGGATCATTTTTCTTTCACTACCCTTTCCAACCTAATGGTTTCTGAGCTGAAGTTTGAGGGAATTGAGGCACTGCAATGGCACGTGATGGCATTAGAAATGGAGAGAAGTGATCATAGTGGTGGGAAAATGCAGCATGCAGATAGACCATAAAGAAGGGAAAAGAAAATAAATAGTAATAAGGGTGTGAAAAGGACTTCTTATGAATGAAATTATTCCACAACACAGCACCAAGCACTTGGAAAGAAGAAACTTCATGCACATTAAGTGCTCTCTCAAGATTCTTCTACTATGTAACTTTGAATGACCCTATTAATGACACTCTGGTTTTGAATTATAGTATTAGGGTTTTGAATAACTCTCTCTCTCTCTCTCTCTCTCTCTCTCTCTCTCTCTCTTATATATATATATATATATATATATATATATATATATATATATATTCTTTTGTTTTAATTTTTTAGTACTTTATATAGTAATAGACAAATAAATACATATATGTAGATTATCTTGATATATAAAAATTTTATTTTTTTCATATAGTAATGTAAATATTTGTTGAAAGATATCGTGGAAAAAATTTAAATTATTTTAAGATTGCGTTGTCTAAGCATACCAACGAGTTGTCAAATAGTATTGAAATAGTATTGAATTTGATTTTCGTGAGCAAAGTCTAGATTTCAAATATTTTTTTAAAATGTTATTAGACCATAGAATAATTTCACTAAAAGTGGCTATTTAGGTTTTTCAATAATAATTAATCATTAATAAAAATAATAGATATTTTATACTAATAACATGATTGTAAGAAAAACATATAATAAACTTATATAAAAAAGTTGTAACAATTACAAGTGGGTAAATAGAAAATTGGTGATGATATATAATGATGTCATTGAATCTTCCAGCACATGTTCTAAGGATTATGGGATGTAATTAAGGTTAGTGAGGTGAGATTTTGTTTGCAAATTATT